ATTTGCTATATATTAAATTTTTCATCATTAACTTTTTTTGGGGATTTAGTAAAAAGTTATACAACTAACATGATTTGGTGATTGTGGCAAAAAAAACAAAAAAAACGACATCTTGAAATAAAAAATTTATACGATGATGTCATATAAACGCATATACATGCATGGTATAAATTATCAAGTCTGCAGATTGCGGCTCACATTATACAGACTCCGATAACCAAAAAAAAAAAATGGAGACGGCGAGCTTCGACTGAAAAATAAGTTTTAAATTTAATGGTGTGCATTCATTATATAGTTTTAATTACAAAAATTAAGCCCAAATGTTTTTTTTTAAGCATTTTTTTTAATATGAACACAACTTGTCTTGGCAGTTGGGGGTCCCTTTAAGGTGTTACCATTAACATTCAAAAGGTTTGCTGTTAATATTTTTACAGACAATAAAAACCAGAGCATTGATTGTTTTATAGACTTTTTGGAAAACAAATAGACTTTGAAAGAAACAAAATTAGGATAAAAAGTGTTTCACTAAATAATGTGAAATTAGTTCGTCCTAATTTTTAAAACTCTAAAATTAAATAAGGAATAATTTTTAATTTTCAGATATTTACATACCATATAAATATTCTGACATAGTGAAATCCTAAGAAAGGTGTGCAGCTGCATGCAAACACTTCTACACAAAATTCTTTAATTACATCATGCAACATTATTTAAAGGTATATCATGCTGTGTTTCAAATAAAGGTATATCATGTTGTGTTTAAAGCGAAATCTTATGAAAATTACAAAAACAATAACTAAATTATATAAAAATTAATGTTAGATGTAACAGTATAAAAAATGAAGTTTATTAACTAAAAAAGAAAAAAAGTAATTTTTTAACTTTAAAACAAGCATTAAAATGAATCATTCTAGTGGAGGAGTTCAATGTCTTAATAAACTGCTGAGCAATATGATACTGCTAGATACTAAATCTGTAAATTTTCAGAGGAGTAAGAATTAGTGAGTAACATAATACACAAATATACAAAGAACTGTAAACAAATGCAATGAATATTAAGATTGATGAATTAGGAAATTTTTTTTTTTTTTTACAGAAACTTGGTTTAAAACAAAATCAGATGTAAAATAAATAATGATAATATTTTTTGAAATGTTAGTAAGACTCATGGAGGAAGAGGTTTGTATTTAGGTGATAATCAGTTTGAAACTAATATTACACAACTAAATGATTATTTTATTGAACAAATAGTTCAATAGAGATTGAAAAATCAAATTTGCAAATTCTAAAAATGCTTGAAAAAACAATTGCAACATCTAAAAATGCATTTGGTCACAATGTAAATTTTGAGATTTTTTAAAAACCATAAACTATTTTTATAACAAACATAATAAACAATAATTTTTATTTACTCAACTATATTATTTATTTTACTAGTCCAGAAGGAAACATTGTATTAGCAGAGCTAATTGAGACTGGCAGAGCCAGGATATAAACTTGCAATCCTGCTGCTATGGCCAATAATTTTTCTGAACTTTTAGCAACCCTTTAACCAACTGAGCTATCCCGGTTCATATAATAGCTTATATAATAATATTCAATAAAAAATATTTAGATTGATCTTGAAGTTAATATAAAAACTCATTATAAAACCATTTTATTAATATTATTAATAGTACTGCAGTTATTAAAAATTATGATTTAAACTTTATTATTTAAATTCATTTGAAAAATTATCAGATAAAAATAGAAAAATAAAGCATACAGTGTTTTGTAATATAATATTAAAAATAAAATCCCAAACCATAACACTAAAAAAAAAAAAAAAAAAACTAATTTAAAAACAGTATATAAAAACTTATTTAAACCACTAATAGTTATTTAAAAAATAAAACTCTTATAACAAATTTTAAAAATTCTTTTTTATCATTATTTTTATTACAAATTAACTAATGTTTAATTTAAAATTTTAAATTTATAAATAATTCTTCAGATTTTCCTCTTAGAAAAATAAAAATTCATTGTTTCATACAATATGCAAATAGTTTTAGTATAATTTTTTATTGGTGGATTTGAAACCACATATATTTCTCGGACTTTAAGTAACAATCTTTTATTTTTATTTTTTATACTTAAGCTAACTGGTGTTTAAACAAACAATAAATAAAAACATGTTGATTTTAACTGTTATTATTTTTGAAGTCATAAATATTTCAATAATTTTTGCAATATGATAAATTGAACCTTTCATTAAAACAGCGTTAATATTTTTTAATCAACTAAAAACTTGAAGTTTTTGAAAAACTGTTTCCAGACAATTTGCTATCACTTAGCCCTTTAGAAGCAATAACAAACAAGAAGAAATTTAAGAAAGCTTATTATTAACTCTTTTATTTAGAAATTGTATTAACTTATTAATTAGTATTTATCAGTTGTCATAGATATAGCCAGGCATCTTAACAACATTAATTATATCATAATAATAACAAAATAAATAAATTTCAAAATAGCTTATGTCTTCATTATCTATTCGAATATTTCTTAAACACATTATTTTCTAAATTTATGTTTCTGTAATTATTTCCTTTATTTTTTTTATAATTAATTGTATTTCAACACTAATTTATTTACTGATTAATTTTTTGTTTACCCTACATCTTCATTTTTAATAAGTTCTTAATAAAATCTCTTCAAAATTACTAACTTTGTTCAATAAATAAATAAAAAAATAAACAAAATTAATTGAAGTCAACATGTGAAAACACAACATACATGTGGCACATATATAAAAATTTAAAAACACTGATAATAACACAACAGTAATGATACCAAAATAACAGTAACAAAAGAACAACAAAACCAAAAAAATAACAATAACACTATAATATAACAATAACACCATTAATAACAATAATTAATTAAGAATTATCAACCTTTATCAACAACTTCTTCTTTTTGTTCCACAGTGATTTCAGATTTTGTATCATTGACATCAGTATCAACTTTTTTTACTTGAGGCTTTTTTTTCTTACCATACATAACTTTCTTTGGTTTTTCTATCTCAGTACTTTCATTCTTTGATTTTTCAACATCTTCTTTCTTTGGGAATACTATACCTAATTATTAAACCTAATAATTATATCTGAAATAATGAAACAATTTAAAAACCACGTTTTTCGTATTAAAAACAAAAAAATCTGAAATAAAAATTCAAACCAAATTCAAATGATTTTAAATAAATGAAAACCTTTTTGCTTCATTAATTCCATCATAGCTTCAGCTTTTCTTCGTTTTTCTTTTTGTGCAGGAGTCAAAAGTTTACCTTCTCTCCTTAGTTGCTCCTTTCTTTCCTGTACAGAAGAATTGTCAAAATACAGGTGCTAGGTAAAAAAACATAAAAAGTAATAAAAATATTGTCAGAAATATAAACCTTTTCTCTTTGCTTTTTCCTTTCTTTTTTTTCTTTTTCAAGTCGTATCTAAAGAAAATTAAAAAATAATACTTATAAAATAATTATAAAAATAAATTCAAAAATATTTTCAAAATATTATAAAATATTAAATAATTATGTAGCACATAAAAAATATGCTGAATAATTATTTAATATTACATTATGTGGCCTATAAAAAAAAAGCTACATAATTATTTAATATTACATATTGTAGAACATAAATAAAATATGCTACATAATTACTTAATATTACATTATGCGGCCTATAAAGAAAATATGCTACATAATTATTTAATATTACATTATGCGGCCTATTAAAAAAAAAATGCTACATAATTATTTAGAATTAAATTATGTAGCACATAAAAAAATATGCTACATAATTATTTAATATAACATTATGCAGCCTATAAAAAAAAATGCTACATAATTATTTAGTATTACATATTGTAGCCTATAAAAAAAATATGTTACTTAATTATTTAATATTACATTATGTAGTCTATAAAAAAATATGCTACTTAATTATTTAGTATTACATTATGTAGCCTATAAAAAAGTTCTATTAACAATAAAGTATTTAGACATTTTTTATTTTCTATAATTAAAAACCTTTTACGAAAAACAAATATAATAATTTTGAATTTAAATGAAATTAGGCATTAATCAGTTTTAAATGGTTACAGATTTAGGAATCATTCAAACAGATTCAAACAAGAATAATTACACATGATTACGCCTAAAATGTGTAAGTATTCAAAGATAGACTCAAATAGGCTCTGAAGGCTATAAAGTATTCAAATATATATTCATTTGGCTCTGAAGTTAACTATAAAGTATCCAGATATAATACAAAGCTATTTAATGCTCTCAGTGATTATTGAGAAGATCGCAAGTCAGGTTTAAGCTGCTTATTAAAAAACTATAGAAGTTAATATTTGTTACGAGGGATAACATTCCAATAAATTTAAAAAAATTTAAAAAACTTAAAACTAAAGTAAAAAACTTACTTTTTCAAGCCTTTCTTCTTCTGCTTTTTCAATTGCTCTTGCTTTAGCTTCAGCTTCTGCCTTAAGCCGTTCTTCTTCTTTTTTAACTTGCTCTAATGCTTCTTGCATAGCTAAAATCGTTGATTTTCCAGGCTTTTTAATCTTTTTAGCTTTGTCATCTTCTTCTTTCTTTTTTTTTTTCTTCTTCTTTTTTTTATCCTTTGAATCAAGCGTTTCATCGCCACTCTCTTCCTCGCCATCTTTTTGGGTTTCATTAGACACTTCTATTGTTACTTTCTTAATTTCTTCTTTTGGCACTTCTTTAGACACTACAAAATTTGAATAAATATTTAAGCACTCAAGAAATTCAACACTTTCAATATTGGCTTTATTTTGCAAAATTGTATTATATTTATATGTATTTAGATCTTTATTCCCAATTATCATAAATCAAATAATTGTTCAAAGCAGGAGAGCTCATAAAGTTAAGGAGGATCTGATGCATCTATATATAATATCAGATATAGATGCAAAAGACTTAGGTTTAAAAAGCATTTTTAACTGCAAATGTTTAGCCGTTTCCAAAAATGCCTTTTATAGCTGCAAAGTAGCAAGTTAGCAGTTCTAATCTCCATATTATCTGACCAAATTCATAAAGTTATACTATGCACCCTTTTGTTTCATTCAGATTTAAAAGAAACTGTAGTTTCATAAACATAATCATATTTTTTCTTAACTAGAAATATAATTTTCACTAAAATTTAAATGAAAACACATATTTACAAATCAGAAACTTAATTACCAATAAAGCATCGAGAGAAGCTTTTAGTTTTGTTTGCCCTACATTTTTTACTTTCATAAAAAACTTGGTTAAATTATCAAGCGGTAGACAGGATTCTTGAAATCCTTATTTAAGTGGATGTTTCTTTAAAAATTTCAGACCTACAGAAAATGTTTAAAAAAACCTTATGTATCAAAGTAGTCAAGTTAAACAATGCATTCTTGTGTCTTTGGTTGCACAAACCATGTTTTGTATTTCAATATTTGAACTTTGCAGTTAATAAACAGCAACTGTTGTTGTCTGTGAGCATCAAATCTTGAAATCAATTTTTGAATCACACTTCCTGATAATAGATTTTCTTCAAATTTTTCATACATACTCTTGGTTGATGAAAATACAATATTCAATAATTAGTTTTGCAATAAGTCAATTAATTTAGTTAATTTTAATTAACAGGGGTTGTAGCCAACTATTTATATGAAATTCTCTGACTAATCCCTGACTTTTTAAAACATAAGATGAATTTCCCTGACAATTTATAACATTAAATTACATAACATTATAATAGAGACTACTTTGGGTTAGTCATTTGTTATCACTATTTGTAGCTGTACCTTCATTGTCACTATTTTTAGCTGTACCTTTGTCATCATTTATAGCTGTATATTTGCTAATCCAACAATACCTTCAGATAAAAATAGCACAACATAATATATAGCTTAGAATTATTAAAAAAATATTTTGAGCAACAATAGCCAGACTTATTACATTGCGCATGAATTCTTTTAATTAAATACATCATCAACATTAAGTTTAAATTTTACTTTCTCTTTTCCTTCATAGCAATGATCCCTGCAACTGAGAACCGTCTTTCATTTTCTCATCACTTTTTCTTTTTAAAGCATTCGCTTTGCTGACCGATGATATATTGCTTTTCTTTTCAGCATCAATTAAGTTTTTGTAAGGAAACTCGTTTGAGATTTTAGCTTTACAGTTTCAGACAAAATAATGGCTTTCCGACCTAGCATTGCATGTTTCTCATTCTTTGACTTCTCTTCATCAAGCAAGAGTGGTGTGTGGTGTAGTGGTAGAGCGCTCGCTTCATAAACGAGTGGTTCCGAGTTCGATCCCCACCACGTCCCTGGTAGTACCGCGCTCAACTCGTTTCTCCGCGCAGCGGCCTTGCTCGTCAAGGTTCGTGTTTCGGAGTTATAGAGTTGAGAGAGGGTTATAACCACAAATAAGTAGCCTCCTCGTCTGTAGTGGCCTTCTCGGTCTTGAGGAGGTGAATTAAAATAAAAAAAAAAAAAAAAAAAAAGAGTTAGTATTTTTAATGTGCAAATTTAAAAGCAGCTTTTCACTAACAACCTCAACCCCCACACTCTGGAGAGTGTGGGGGTTGAGGTTGTTAGTGAACATGAAATCACACACAAGGCACTGCCCAACAATATCATGTAATGATATATTGTCAGTAATAACATCCTTATTGACACTAAACCCCAGTTCAACTGACGCCTGTCTATGACTCAGAGTCAGAACCAACCAAATGACAGATAACAAATCTGGTTAATTTATAATGTCAATGCCTTTGAAGTTAAAATCATTGAAGCATTTATTTTTTTGATCATAACTAATGAAACTATTCCAATTTATTGCAAATTCTGCTGGCATAAACTTTGAGAACTGGTTGATAACTTTGTTCGAATAAGAAGCAATTAAAATTTCAAGAGAGATAAGATATGCAGCAATATTTTCATTTGACTCCAATTTTTTTTTAGCTGTGATCTGATCATAAAAGTTTAGCAGCAAACAAGTATTCATGTTAACAGCCAAATTAACATTTAAATAACTTCTCAACAGCTTAAATCAAAATATGTATGTATTGAATTTTAAATTTTTCAATATTCTTCAAAATATCGGCAACATTCTTTCTGAGCTTTGACAGTTTTAAGTAAGTCTCGATAGTTTCAGATTTAATGAACATCCTAAGAACACCCTTAATCAACTGCTCAAGACCACCATTCATTTAAGGTAATGTTGGAGCATCTGTCTGAGAGAGCTTTAGAAACAATTCAAATATGCTCGCCAGGAAGCTAAAGAACTGAAATCTTACAAGGGAAGGTTCCTTTTTAACAGCAACAACAAGGGAAGGTTCCTTTTTAACAGCATTTACAACAAACTTACATGATTTGGCAGATAGTAGTTTACTTTTAGACAGAGCCTCCCAATAAAATCACTATTTTTATAATAGAAGGCCAAATACTAATTAATCTTTCTGTTACCTTTTTGTCTTTAACATAACTGGTTGCGCAAAATGAAAGGGGAAACACATAACCTTTAATGATACTGATAAAGTCACTTTTCTTCTGGCAAGAAATTTATAAAATAAGATAAAGCAGCTTTTGAATGTCTTTTAAATTTCCTAACCAGCTGATTCTACTCTTGTTTTGAAAACACCATAAATTATGTGTTAAGAACAGCAGCCTATGTCAATAAGTTTAGATAGTTTGTGTTTGTCACATTTGCTATGAACATCTCTGCGAAATTCTAAGTTGACACTGGGTCCATTCATAGAGACCTGAATAACCTTGCTGATAATAAGATCACTTACCGTTTCATTAAAATAATTTAGCAAATCAAGTCTGGTACTATGTCCCATAAATGAGGAATCCCAATAAGTATTTAATAATATTAGGAATCCCATAAATGAGGAATCCCACTTTAACTTGCAACTCTAATTTATTCAGGTAAGTTTAATTTCAATGAGTTTTAGTATATGAAATCATTGTAGGATTTTTTTTTTTGAACCAATTTTTTTTTTTTGAATCAATCTTATTTGCTTTTGTTTTATTAGTTTTTTAAAATAAGCATTTATCATCAATCATATGACTTTCATATAAATTTTATAGGAAGCTAAACAAAAGAATGTTTTTTATAGAGTGCTAGAACAAAATAAAGATTTTTATGATTCTTATTAAGTATTTTACATTAAAATCTATCTTATAAAATTACAAATCAAAACCAAAATTGACACTAAAATTTTTCATTAAACGATTTCAATTTTAAAATTGACTCAATGATGCTGCACTTTTTTGCAATCTTGACCAATAATTGTTAGATTGTAAAAATAAAATAAGCAATACATGTTTTACAGAACAAATTACAGTAAATATATTCTCGCATGATTAAATAAGAATTTCAAGAATATTTGTACCCAATGAAAAGTTTAGCAAATAAATGTTTTAAATTAAACTTTCATAAAGTTAACTCTTTCACTACCAGTCATTTTAACAAAAATCTTTTTGCCGTCACCGCATATTTTTTTTTGAATAAAACTTGGATGGCATAACATTGACAACTAATTAAAATTCAAAAAGTAAATCTCTTTAAAAGCATAATAAACTATATATCAATAGAAAGCTAAACAAATAAACTTTTTAATTAAATAAGTTTTTAACCCGCATCATTGAACAATAAGAAATGCAAAGTGCTTAAAACCTTTGTTTTTATAAATAGTAACTAAAACATTAAGTTCAAAACAAAACCAATTTAATGTATAAAAAGAAGCTTTTTTTCTTCGAAACACTTTATTAATTACTTAAATAAATACTTATACACTTCTATAAGATAAATCTTACAGTTTTAATACTGCTTTATTTTAGAACTTAATTCAATTAACCTTGAAACAAAGCACAATTTAAGCATTGATATGATTCCTAATAAAACTCATATAAAGTTCAAGTGGCTAGATGTTTAAATATTTTTTAATTGATGAAAAAAAAAATTTAATTTTCGAAGTATTATTACAATATTTAGTAACAGCTTAATTAACTTTACTTTTCAACAAGGTTCTAATTATTTAAAAAAAAAGTCTTTAAAAATAGGTCTCAAAAGAAGCAAAATAATATATAAATTTCAAAAATAATAATCATTTTATAAAAAATATATTAAAAAATTGTTATTTTAATAAAAATTTGTAAAAAAGCAATTTTCTATCAATTTTCTATCTATTTCTAAGTTAGAAAACTATCGTTTATATGCAATTAAATCTAAAATAATAATTGCAGTATAAAAAGATTTTTTTTTTTTTTAAATTTTTATTTTAAAATGGTCTAATATACATTCACACACACATATACATGATTACATAAACATACACAGATTTACTTCTGCAGATTTAGGTTGGCGCTGTTTTGATATATTTTGCACCCTTTTACTTTTAAAATGCTAACTTAAGTCCACACAGGTAAGTTCAGAAAAAGAAAAGAATAATAATAATAGGGGAAAAAAGATATTTTGCATTCATGCATAAATCGAACTTGCACAAACCCAAACCCTCAGGTAATAAAAGTAAAGCTCCTGTCAATAACTACTTCAGTATGATATCAGATGCTTCATGCACAGTAAAATCAGCATTGATAATTATCTGTGTGCTAGCCTTCCCAGGATGCACCCCTTGTTTATCTATGCATAAAATAATATTTTTAGACAAATTGATCACATCTATTTGCAAGCTTCCACAATTTACCCTTTGGCTACTAATTTTTCAAATTGCACATATAAAGCATTATGGGATAACTGAGGCGCAAACAATTAATAGACAACAAACATTAACAAGGCATTTTTTTTAACAATATTAATCAATCAATATATATTTTCACTTTAATAACTGCATATATATATATATATATATATATATATATATATATATATATATATATATATATATATATATATATATATATATATATATATATATATATGTTGTATAAACAAAACTACATTTTATTTGCAACTATAAGTTTCATGCTAAATGCAATCATCAGGTAATGTGATCTTTACTTGAGGAAAAATAGTTCTGTACAAGAGAAAAATGTGATAAAAAAATCAAAAAATTAAATTTTTTGATTTTAAACGATGGCTTGTGGTTTGCCCATCTAATTTCCCAGATGCCCTCTGTTGAACCTAAATAAGATTTGTGGGTGTGTTTGAAAATGCAATGCACTTATAAAAAACGCATGTTATTTGAAAAAAAATCTCATATATCATCTCCTTACAACCTTTTTTAAAGTGTTTTCCATAAAATAATCCTAAATTAACTTCTTACATAAATCTATTAATGTATTTAACTAAGTTCATATTTTAAAATTGTTTTATATATAGTTGTTTATACTAAAACCAAATATTCAAAAGAAATTCACCCACTAAGATACCACTAAAATCATGAATTTTTAGGGCTATACTAATTAGTTAAAACAAAAAAGATTTACTTGATAAATAATTTAAGAATTAGTCATTAAAATTTATTTTTATGACAAACAAACAAATAAATGATTGGTATAAATTGAAAATAATGCTAACTGGGACTTTTGTTACATTAGTTGGTAATTGACTAAACATTTTTGCTTCAAGGGTATGGAATAATTTCCGAAAATTTTTATCAAAATTTTTATCAAAATTGAGAAAAAAAGATTTTTTAAAAAAAATCTTTTTTTCTCAATTTAATATTGCTTATATCTGATTGAATATTTTTTTTTATATATGCTAATAGGTAAAGATTTTTATATATGCTATAGATGTAAATAAATAATGACAAATTATATAAATACAAAATTATTTATAAGAAAACAACATTCATAGTAAAAACTTTCCTTATCTCAAACTTTGCATATAATTTTTGGAATAAAAAATTGATTCTTAAGTTAAATATTTTACTTTTATTTACTAATATCATCTGATACAAAGTCTTGAATTATAATGGCATCAAAGTTGATACAAATATGTTTAATTAAAACATTACATTTTCATATTTAGCCTGAAATCTCTGTTTAATGTTGAATAGTTTTTTAAAAGTGGACGGAAAAGAAGGTAAAACTTAGAAAAAGGGGACAGTCAGGAATTTCAATTGTAAAAAAATTTTCAAACAAAATCTTATTTATGCTTTTAATGAAGTTAAATCTACTTTCACAACACTATAATGAACAAAATAACAAACCAAACTGGCTTAAAAAAAAATTTTTTTTTAGGACACCCTAATATATATACATATATATATATATATATATATATATATATATATATATATATATATATATATATATATATATATATATATATATATATATATATATATATATATATATATATATATATATATATATATATATATATATATATAAACACACACACACAGACACACACATATTTGTATAAATATACACACATAATGATATTTATATCACAATACCTTCAACCTGTGTATCTTCAGCTTTAGGTATTTGAGATTGATTCATCTCCTCTTTTTTCTTTTGCTGAGCAGCTTTTTGTTTTTCTTTTTCCTTTTTTTTCTTGTCTCTCTCTTTTTTTTCAGCTTTTTTTTCAGCTGCAGACTTAATTTTTATTTCATCATTTGTATTATCTACAGCTTTAGCAGTTTCTTGCTTATTAGGTGCTTCTGTTTTAACTTGTGGTTTAACTGATGCTACTGCTTCAACTTGTTTTTCTGGTTCAATAGACATATCATTGACTTCATCGTAAGCACTTTCAATATCTTCTTCTTTTTTCTTCTTATTCTTTTTTGTTTTTGCTTTTTTATTTTGGTCAGAAACCTCTAAATTAGACAATATTTCTGCTAAATCATTGTCTTCTGCAGATTCCTTTTTTTTTTTCCCTTTTTTTCTCGATTTAACTTCCTTTATGACTTCCTCTGCTTCATGAGAAGAAAGATTATCATCATTGGTATCATCCTCATTGTCATCTATCATAAGAGCACTAAAACCTGATTTATGAGTTGGTTTCTAAAAAAATTTATTTTAAACATTTACTATATATTCAATATATTCAATACATTCAAATTAATAAAAAAATATTAAATATTTCTATATTTATTTATTAAGTACAGTAATTAAATTATAAAAGTATATACTTTTATAATTTAATTACTGTACTTAATAAATTATATGTACAGTAATTAAATTATAAAAGTTAACAGAAAAGGTGACAACAATGGATTTTGATTATATCAAGTAATTTGAGTAATCTGCCGAAAAATTTTGAAATTTTATCATGTTTAAGGTTCCCATGCATTAAAGGGTTAAGGGTTGAATTGAGCGATCGCGAAATACAAAATTCGTAAAAATATCTAGTCTTCAAAATTTTAGTTTATGCAAAACCGTGTAATTTGTTTTTAAGAGGCGAATCAACTTGAATTTGCTTGCAAAAAAGTTATAAAAAATAACTTATAAACAATAAACTTATATTACACAACTACAGAAGTAATAGCGCTCTAGTAACTAACTGCATTATAAAAGCAATAAAACTATAATAGTGTTATCACTTTAATAATACACTTATAACTTTTATAATTTATTCTTTATTCAAAAAACATAAGTAATTATAAATTTTCATTGAAGTAGAGAAGCATCTACAAAAATAGAGTGGATAATCAAATAATATTCAAAACTTATTAAGGAACTTAAACAACATAGCAAAATTAGCATCTGCTAAGGTTGCATCACTTTATCGAGCTTGACACTTTCTTACTCTGGATTTTATTCTCTATCTCTATAAATCTTAAATCCGGCCTTGTATGGAATACTGTTGCACTATCTGGAGCGGATCTTCTAATGATGCCCTTTCTCTTTTAGACAAGGTTGCAAAAATGCATTGTAAACATAGTTGAACCTGCTCTTGCAGCCAACCTTCAACCATTATCACATCGTCGTAATGTTGCTTCTATTTCTCTTTTCTACAAAAACTGTAATGGCCACTGCTCTAAAGAGCTGTGTCTCTTGTACCATCTACTAAAATTCATTCTCGTGTTACTCGCCATTCAATTAAGTATCATCCTTTTTCTTTGGAATTCGATTCCTTCATCTTGCTTTTCTGATTCATATAATTTGAAATCTTTCAAGTCTTCTGTCAATCGTTATCTTGCTCTAAAATCTTCATCTTCTCTCTTCCAGTAACTTCCAACTATAATTAGTGGTTACTTGCAGCCTAGTTGGAAAAAAAATTATTTTAATAAAGTTTTTTTATAAAAGTTACTGAAGATTTTAATAATAATTGAATATCCACTTTATTTTTTCTAGATGCTACTTTGATTAAAATTTTGAATTACTGATGCTGTTTGAACAAAGATTAAACTTTGAAAGTTATAAGTGCTTTATAAAAATAATAACACTATTACAGTTTTATTACTGTTATAATGCAAATTGTGACTAAAATGTTATTACTTTTGTAGTCATAAGTTTATTGTTTTGTTTTGATTTTTATAGCATTTTTTTTTTAGCTTTTTCGCTAAAAAACTTATAATAATTTTCCCCTTGAAAACAAAGTAAATGAGTTTGCATAAACTAAAATTTAAAAAAATCATTAGTTTTAGCCAAGAAAAAATACAAAAAAAAAAAAAACTTTTACACTAGACTACTGATTACCATAGCGGACAACTCAAATGAGAAATAAAAACTGTTCAAGTCGCCCACAGGGTGACTGGGAAAAAACTGGAGGATACACTGCTGTAATTTTGTATAAATTTCTTTATTTTGTTGGGTTTTTTCAGTGCTTTTTTAAAGCGTTTCAAAGCCACGGTCAAACATAAAAACAAAAAATATTTGCATGGTCAGATATCGAGTGGGATCACCTTTCCTGCCCACGACTGTATATATAAATAATTTTTATATAATATATAAATATAAATACTTTTATAATTTACTTAATAAATAAATATAAAATATTAAATTTAATATACTTAAAATGGTTTTTAAAATAAATATACGCCAATAAAAATTACCACATCCCTGGTAGTACCGCGCTCAACTTGTTTCTCCGCGCAGCGGCCTTGTTCGTCAAGGTTCGTGTTTCGGAGTTATAGAGTTGAGAGAGGGTTATAGCCACAAATAAGTAGCCTCCTCGTCTGTAGTGGCCTTCTCGGCCTTGAGGAGGTGAATTAAAATAATAAAAAAAAATGATTAAAAAAAACTCACAACTGTTTCTTCATTTTCTTCATCATCGTCACTAAATTAGGAGAATAGAATTTACAAAAAAAGTTCTGGAAAAATCAAAGAAAATTTGCTTTAATTTAAAAAACTAAAGAACTAAATACTAGACAAAATAAAAAAAAGTATACCTATGTAAAAACTATTTTTAAATATAAATAAAAAGATTCATATTTTATTGTGGCATGCATGCTCGAGGCCTAATGCAAATTTAGTTTGAGGGGCCCTCAAATGAAGCCTGAAAAAAAAGATGGAGTAAAGAGTACTAATGTACCAGGGTAAAAAATCATCTGTAAGAATTTTTGGTGGTCCTTTCTTAGCTAAATATTATATTATTTGTTGACTGATCATCTTGAGCCAAGTAGCAGGATCAATCAGTTATATTCGATTCTTCATTAAAATAGTTTTCTTTACTCTCAGTCGGTTGAATTGTTTCCACTTGATTAACTTCATTACATATAAATTTTAATTATTATCAATATTACTTTTGCAGCTTTTCTTTTTGCAGCTTTTCTTTTTTAGTATTCTTTTTGTACTACCACTTTTGCATTTTCTTCCTACACTACCCATCATTATTATTCAAAATTTTTTTTTAAACTTTTTTTAAAAAATGCTAGTTTTTATTTAATTTATGTTTATTTTTGCAATAATTTAAAAAACATAAAAGTATTTTGATTGATATGCTTTGATAAAAATCATATAAATAATAAAAAAGGCTAAAGTGGGCAAAGCTACATAAATGATGGACCATCGATGACTGTGAACGTGGGACTGACGTGTTGAAGTTTTAAATCTTTGGTTTCAAGAGAAGATATTTTGTCTGAAAAAAAATTGTTGAATGTATAAAATAGTGTGTATTATCAACTGTAAAACATGGTGGATGTAGTGACAAGATGTGGGGCTGTTCAGAATTGGGGGTGGTCAGAATGCTACAGGTGACATTATAAAAACAGGGAACAATAAAAAAAGTAGTTTACTAGGACACTTAATTTGTCATGTCATACCTTTATAAAAAGATCGGTTAATGGGATTTTATTGGTTAATGGAATTTTTTTTTTTTTTTTTGTTGAAGAAAATGACTTCAAGCTTAAATCCAAAACATATTCTTCAGATTATTATATAAACTAAGGGTGATTATCAAAAGGGTGATATAATAGGCAAGTAAATTATAAACTAATCTAACAGAACTTTATATTATTATTTTTTAAACCTAATAAAAAGAAAGATAACACATGATTCAGATGGATTTTGTTTTCAGTTTTTCTCCCAAAAGTAATTAAAACATTGATATCTTATATCGAAAAGTACGAGCATTCAAATAATTATGGACAGTAGTGCATATCTTTATCTCATTTTGTTGGTTTCCAGATCTAGTCAACAATATAAAGATAACTTAAGTTATAAAATACACTTTAAAAAAAAATAGTTTCTTTTTTTTATTAAACATTTCCAGTAAATAAGGTACAATATTCTAAAATAAAAATGGATATGCTAAATTAATTGACTGGCTAGATTTATTCAAAGTTGACAAACAATATTTGTGAACCTTTGAACAATAAATTTGTTGAGACCATTTATTTTGATTTGTTTCTTTCAATTTTTTGTATTTCTGTAATTCTATATACATTTTTTTAATAAAACTTACTTGTTAGTTGAACTTGTGCTACTTAAGTAGAAAATATTACATCATGTCTATAAATATTCTAAATTCTCTTGTGAACTCATGGTTTGAGAATTCGTAAAAAAAAAATCTAATACTTTTATTTTCAAAGTATTTTAAATTAAACAGACATTCAAAATTAAATTAAAAACAATTTGTATTTTCTATTTTTTTTATTAGCATTCTAAAATTCTACGCAGGGGTCACTTTTACCGCAGGGTCTAACGCAACTACATCACTGGTGTCAACTGGCCTTGGAAAAAGGTATCTAAGCAAAACATCAATATTTAAAAAATGAATGAGTTTTTTTTTTTTTTTTTTAAATTATCTACTTTATTATAAGAGTGTTATCTACTGTTATCAATGTTATCTACTTTATCTATCAATGTTATCTACCAATGTTATCATAAAACATTATCTCTCGATGTTATCATAAAAAGTTATCTATCAATGTTATCTATTTTATTATATTTATTATAACAAAGGCCTTTTGTCAGTAGTATAATTGTAAATGTTTTATCAAAACATTTAAAAAAAAATGTTTAAAAAAAATTTTTTAAACATTTTTTTTAAAATGTTTTTCCTTATTTTACTTCAAGAGAAACGAAATGTCTCGATACCAAAAAAGATTCTGTGTGATGTTAGGCTCCATTACTCTCAGTTCACTCAATCTTATATCTTATCTCAGAAGTTAAGCTCTAGAGACTTTTGGAAAACCTTCAAAAGCATTAACAAGTGTCTAACAGTTCATCTCTCATTCATGGGACTGACCTTATTACCTTTTCTAAGAAAAGAACTATTTGCAAAAAACTTTTTTTATAAGTCAACTCTTGAATCCTATGACCATTTTCTTCCTTACATTACCATTAGACAGGTTAACCCATTGTTATACATTCAAATCAGTCCAGCTTTCGTTGCTAAAGTCATATCTCAATTAAACTCTTCTACGGTTTGGGGTCCAGACAATATTCCGTTCATAGTTTTACAAAATTGTTCTCTGAAATTCTTTTTAATTCTTTCTAAACTATTTATTAAGTGCTTGATTAAACCTTGTTTTCCTGCCTGCTGGAAAATGGCACCTTTTGTTCAAATTTTCAAAAACTCCAGTGAACATTCTGACCTCTCCAATTATCGTCAGATCAATCTTTTTTGTGTTATTAGCAAGATCTTAAAGTCTTTGATCAACAAATTTCAAGTACCCCATCTTAAGTCAAATAACATACTGTCAGACGATAAAATTTTTAATCCTCTCTCTTTATGGGTGATTTGTTAACTACTGTGACTGAAAGATTTTAGCGTGAATTAGATGGAGGAAGAGAGGCTAGGGCTATTGCTCTTGACTTATCTAAAGCTTTCAACAAAGTTTGGCAAGCTGAACTTCTCCATAAGCTTAATTCATATGGTGCATCTGGGAAAGTTTTTCAAATTTTCAAATTGTTTCTTTCTAAAGTCATTAAAGTCATCCTCGAAGGCCAACATTCTTCTTCATTTCCAGTAACTTCTGGGGTACCTCAAAGTTCAATCCATGGTCCTGTTTTGTTTCTTATCTACATTAATGATCTTCCTGACAACCTTAGATCTATAGTAATTCTTTTTGTGATAACTCAACTATTCTACTGATAACTGTACTCCTCTCTTAACGAAAACTTTTCTCTTTTTGATCGCTTAAAACAGGCAGCCAATCTTGAATCTGATCTCACTTTGGTAACAAGGGGTTGTAGTGGCTTATAAACTTTTACTCCAACAAAACTCAGTTATTTACTGCAAAATATTTTTTTAATACTGCCGTTTCATTCATTCCTACATTAATGAATGGCAACCCTCTCGCTAAATCCTTTTCTTTACAGCTTCTTGAATTATTGTTTACTACTGACCTCCTGACTGACTTTCATGGAAACCATATACACAATCAATTGTTTAATTAGTATCTGCTTAGGTTTTTATCATGCATGCCTTTTTCTTACTCCTGATTCCATTCTCTACCTCTACCAATCTATTATTTGTCCCTGTATGGAATACTGTTGTCATATTTGGGCTGGTTCTTCTAATGATGCTCTTTCTCTTCTTGACAAAATCCAACAACACATTATAAATGTAGTTGGCTATATCTGCTAAGCTTGATCCTCTTATTGTCGTAAAGTTGCATCTCATTCTCTTTTCTACAAATACTATTATAGTGACTGCTCAAAGGAGTTATCATCTCTAGTTCCACTGATCAATACTTATTTTCGCTTGATTGCTAATTTTTTTGGAAACTTTTTCCCTGTATGGAATATACACTTTAGCTTGACTGCTTATTTTTTCTCTGCACTTCAACCCTTTGGAACTCTCTCCCATCTTCAATTTTCCAGACTCAAAAACGCATTATAAATGTAGTTGAACCCAATTTACATGCCAAGCTTAAGTCTCTCTCCCATAATCATAAAGTTGCATCTTTTTCTCTTTTCTACAAATATTATCATGGTTGTTGCTCAAAGGAACTCTCATATCTAGTACCATGAACTAAAACTCATTCTTACTTGACTCTTCATATATTTATGTAAGAAAAAACATGACTAGCTATACATATTCTTACAATTATATACATGATTGCTGTATTTCTCTGTTGAATTGCCAGTTCTGCAACTGGGAAAATGTCTGTTTGTGAGGTTTCTTAAATTGTTTGGCAACCAGGTACTGAATTTATTTATTTAAGATTTAAATATATCAATGTTGTTTATTTTCTTGATTTAATGAGTGTCTTTATATTTTAATTTATGATAATAGTATGTAAGTAATAGTTTAGACGGTTTCAACATATTTAAATAAACAACGAGCAACTGCTAGATTATAATTGAATTATTTTATTTATTTATAAAAGAAACATTTGAACACCCTTATTTATTTAGAAGATGGTTTGAAATCTGCTTTACTTCTTTGATAAAATAGTGTTGAAATATATTTTAATAACATCAATAAATATATTTTATTATTATTAATTATTTTATTATTATTATTAATTATATTTTATTATTACTAATTATATTATTAACACTATTTCATTAAAGAAATTAGCACTATTTCATCATAGAAATAAAGTAGATTTCAAAGTATCTTCTAAATAAATAATGTTTAAATGTTTTTTTTATATAAATAAACAAAATAATTCAATTATAATCTTAACTAAAATTGTCTTAACTGCTATAAATAATTATACTTTAATTATAAATTATATATATACTATAATTATATATATACTATAATTATAAATTAAATTATATTTCATCACTCTCTCTCTCTCTCTCTCTCTCTCTCTCTATATATATATATATATATATATATATATATATATATATATATATATATATATATATATATATATATATATATATATTTATATATATATATATATATATATATATATATATATATATATATATATATATATATATATATATATATATATATATATATATATATGTATATGTATATGTATATATATATATATATATATATATATATATATATATACACATATACATATACATATACATATATACATATATGTATATATATATATATATATATATATATATATATATATATATATATATATATATATATATATATATATATATATATATATATATATATATATATATATATATATATATATATATATATATATATATATATATATATATAGTGCTGTAAGAACCTTTAGTTGGGTAAATTATATAATTATTATAATTAGTAAATTTCAATAGCATTTCTTTTTTTGTTCTTTCCTGTTCAAAAAACTTTTAAATTCATTTATCTCTTTTGAAGTGCTTTGAAATTCTCTCCTAATTTAATGTTTTCCTGACTCATAAATTACAGCCTTTAAACTCTATTATTAAACTTTTTTTTTTTTTTTACTATATTCGTTATTTCCTAATAACCAATTTAAATAGTAGTTGTCTGCAGTCTTGTTGGTAATTAAATTGTTAAAAAAAAAAATTTTAATAATAATAAAAATCAATATTAACTTATTTATAAGCTTTATTAGACTTACTCGATATATTTTTCTTTATTTTTCTTTTTCTTGTTTTTCGAATTCAAAATATCTTCATTAACAACTTTTTTTAGGTCTTCATCATCTTCCCTACAAATAAACACAATATATACAAATGCAGTTTTTGTGCTAAATACAAGAATTATTTATTTACAGTGTTTTTTTGAAAACATGACACTGAATTTGGACATCTGTGGTTTTTCCGTTGTAAATATATCAACTCATAAACCACTTTAGCTTATAACCTTTTAGAGCACTTATTATTTTAAAGGTAGACGGTAACACATTGTAATATACAACCACAACGTACTAAGAGTGTGAAGGGATAATAAAGCCGCCCCCCCCCTTTTTTTTCTTTCTTTTCCTTTTCACAAAAAAATTCAAATAAAGAACTATATGAAAGTTTTTTTTTAACTTTATACAAAATAGCATTGCAACCTTTTCTCTTCCCCCAACCTCATCTATTTACCATAAATGATTCCATGATGATGTGAACAACACGTTAATAAAAATGTGTTTTTTTAATTTTAAAGAAAAATGAAATAAATTTTTAAAAAAATAAGATAAAATAATATCAAATATTTTCTTATTTTGTCCACTTAAAAAATGTTTAGCTTCAATAAGTCTTTAAATTTTTAACAAAAAAGAGGCAACAGGGCTATGTATGCTTGTTTCAGTTTATCATGCACTTCGATCTTTGATCAAAACATATGGGATGCAACACACATAAAATTAAATGTTTATAATTTCCTATATACATAGATGAGTATTTGACTTTTTGAAAATCCCGGAAATTTTTTTGTATGAAAATCCCGGAAAATTATTTAATTAAAAATTGATCGTTTTACTGAATTATTCATTTTTATATGCGCATCTATTGATTTTTATATGCGCATCTATTGATTTTTATATGCGTGTTTATTCATTTAATGTTTTTGCGAAATTGGGAATTTAGGTGCGGCTAAAAAAAAAAAAAAAAGGTCCTTACATTTTTGCTGAGAGTTACATTTACAGCAGTATTATTTTATTTTATGAGCAATCTTCTAAAGTTTTCATTTAAATCGCTTCTTTTCTTTGTTTTTAATATATATCAGCCGTTTTTCAAAACGGCTGTAGACATTTTTGTAAACGTTTTTGTAGACATCTAAACTAGCATATTTTGTAAAAATGTCAAAATTGATTTTTTTTTACCTAAAGGCGTTTTTAAAAATGGCTGCAGTATAGTAGAGAGAAAACAAGAACAAAAGACAATTGTTTGCAGTTTTAATGAATAAATTATTAAATTTCATTGAAACTTTTATCTATTTTAATTGCGTAATTTGCTCTTTAAATACAGGTTTAAACAATTAGTTCTAAAGAAATATATTTGAATATATAACTATTTAAATACTTAAAAATTTAATCGGCATATTCAAATATCTAGTAAATTAGGTATTTAAATAAGAAATATATTTAAATACAAAATTATTATTATTTTTTTAATTTACAAATATACATTAAATATCTACGTAATGTTCGTATTTGTAAATTAAAAAAAAAATTTTCGTATTTATTGGCTAATAATTAATAATATTATAATATCATTTAATTATCTTCTTTTATGTTTTACACAAATATAACATAGATAATGTTTCATTGCAAGTTTTATTTTTGATTATTTTCGTTGTTATCTTCAGATTACTTTACTAGCTGATTTATTTTACCAAAAGTATTAACAAATCTTTTATTATAAAAAGGCTATTAACTTATTTTGAAAGTATAATACTAATTAATATGCGAATTTCTTTGTAACTTTCCTGACTTAAGATAAACAGCAAAAACCTAAATATAGAGTTTTTGAATAATAAAAATAAATTAATAATTTATTAAATATATTGAAAAATCTGAACTCGAGAATAAGTGATGTCAATAAAAATTTTAAAAAAAAAGTTTTTTTCAAACTTTTGAATGAATGATCTTGTTAAGGTTAATGACGCTTGTTAATGACAACACGTTTTTACACATTAAAAAAATCGATCAATTTAATTCATTTTTTCGTCATGCATACCAATTTTTACTTGTTTAGCGCGACACTTTAAATCTGACTGACTTAATTTTTATTTTTTTTACTATGATCTTAAAAATGTTTGGGAATTTTAAACGAATTGGGAATACTGCGTTATAAGCGGTGCCATCAGGCTGGGTAACACCCTGTAACCCTGTAACAGACAACAAAAACTTTTGTAAACTTTTAAAACAGAATTTAGAATATTTAACTTTTTACAAAAAAAAATTTCTAATATTCGAAAAAGTTAATTGGAATGAATTAAAAAGCAAAAAAAAAAAGTAAAAAAATTGTTACGAAAATTGATCTCGTAAAAATTTTAATTATAGAAAACATTTGTTTAAAATGCAAAAGTTGTTGTATTTAAAATTTTATGTAAAAATATATAAAAATTTCTTTCAAATTATTAACAAAAAACATCTGGAAATTTCTGGAAAATTAAAAGTGAATTTCTGGAATTCCGGGAATTATTTGAATATATAATTCCGGGAATATATAATTCCGGGAATATATAATTCCGGGAATAAATTGCGGTAGTGGTGTAGTGGTAGAGCGCTCGCTTCATAAACGAGTGGTTCCGAGTTTGATCCCCACCACGTCCCTGGTAGTACCGCGCTCAACTCGTTTCTCCGCGCAGCGGCCTTGTTCGTCAAGGTTCGTGTTTCGGAGTTATAGAGTTGAGAGAGGGTTATAGCCACAAAATAAGTAGCCTCCTCGTTTGTAGTGGCCTTCTCGGCCTTGAGGAGGTGAAGTAAAATAAAAAAAAAAAATTAAAAAAAAAATTCCAGAAAAAAATTCATCTATGATTATATAATTAAAGTTTAACAAGCCTTTAATAATTCAATTTCTCTAAGTGAACATGTCATAAATGAACAAACAACTTTGAAACTCTGCAAATTTCAAAAATGTTTCTTGTATCATGTTTATATATAATATTGAATTGTTATGGTTTTTTATGAGATCGTCAAGTGTTTCTGCCAGAAACTTTTGATTTGCAATGGCCATGTTTCTGTTAAATTCTATAGAAGTGCCATGTCTATACAGAATGTGACAGTGTTGTAATTGGTAATAAAACAGTAATACTGTCAAGTTTTTCAGTTTTATAAACTAGATTAATAAATCAATCTAAAACTTTTCATTTTATATTTTGCCAAGCGCATAAGTTGCAAATCAATTTAATATCCCTTACATTTGAGATTAATTGATTTAAAATCATGCAGCATAGAACATACATCATCAGAAAATCTAATAAAACATTTAAGCTTTTGACAAGCTATACACGAATTAAAACACAACTTGAAGCTTTGAGAGAGTTCCAAGTTGTGTTTTAATTTATTCTTTTTTTACAATATATTCTTAGCAGTATCAAAATCAGAATTATTATTAAGTCTATTTTTTACTTTGTTAGGACACAAAAGATACACCTTATAAATTAAAACAAAACTTGAAATAATTCAAGAGAAAACTTTTGTCATTTATATATATATATATATATATATATATATATATATATATATATATATATATATATATATATATATATACATATACATACATATATACATTTTTTTTTTTTTTTAAATAGCTTTTTACCATTTATATTAAAATATTGCAATACTAGGTTGGTTGAAAAGTTCGCGGAGCGGCACTTATGTTGCAGTAGTAGAAACAAATTTATAACTGTATTAAACGTATTCATTCTTCGTATGAACGCATAAAAAATTTCAAGTCGATATGTCATTTCAGTCTTTGTTTACAAGCTATTGAAATTAGACGTGTCATAGTATTTTTTAAAATGGAAAATATTGAACATCGTGCTGTAATAAAATTCTTTGTGAAAAAAGGTTTAAAGCCCACGGAAATTCATAATGAAATGGTAAATGTGTTGGGTGATGATGCTCCTTCAAAAACAACAGTATGCAAATGGGCTGCGGAGTTTCAACGTGGGCGTTCAAGCCTTGAAGATGACCCTCGCTCTGGACGTCCAAAAAGTGCTACTACTGAAGAAACGATTAATGCTGTGCATGACATGGTTATGGATGATAGACGATTGACCAAACGTGAAATTGCTGAGGCTGTGGGCATCTCAGATGAACGGGTATTACACATCTTGCACGATGAATTACGTCTGAGAAAGCTGTTGGCAAGATGGGTGCCGCATTCGCTAACTCTGGATCAGAAACGCACTCGAGTAAAACTTTCTCAAGAACATTTGGCCCGTTTTCAAAAGAATAAAACAGATTTTGTGCGTCGATTCGTAACCATGGATGAGACTTGGGTTTACCACTATGATCCGAAGCTGCGACAACAAACTGCAGAGTGGACAGAACCCGGTTGTTCAGCTCCGAAGCAAGTGAAGGCGTCAAAATCGTCAAAGAAGGTTATGGCATCAGTTTTTTAGGATGCGAAAGGAATTTTATTAATAGATTACCTTCAAACCGGTAAAATGATAACAGGTGAATATTATAAAAATCTTTTGGACCAGTTGGATAAAAAAATTCGTGAGAAAAGACCTGGTTTGCTGCATAAAAAAATCATTTATCACCAGGACAACGCACCTGCTCATATCAGCGATGTTGCAAAGGCGAAATTGGTTGAATTAAAGTACGAACGCTTGGAACATCCACCCTATTCACCAGATCTGGCTCCGTCCGACTTCCACCTCTTTCCACATCTCAAAAAATTTCTACGTGGAAAGCGTTTCTCATCACATGAAGAAGTCATTGCAGCCGTAAATGGGTATTTTGAAGGCCTTCCGGAATCGCACTTCAGAGATGGGATACATGAATTGGAGAATCGTTGGAAAAAGTGTATTGCTCTTAAGGGAGAATATACTGAAGAATAAAGTCATTTTTTGAATCATAAAATTGTTTTTTCATTTCCGCTCTGCGAACTTTTCAACCAACCTAGTATTTATTAATTTAAATTTATAGTTAAGTATTTATTTATCATTTTTGTCCAATGGTTTTTATAAATTTGAACAAAATATTTTAGCTTTTAAAACACTTTTTAAATAAATTTTTTGAAAAATATAACGTAATAGTTA